CGGGGACCCGGAGCGCAAGAAGCCGAAGGCTCGCAGGGGCCTTGCCAGACCCAGGCCTGGCCAGGCGCGGCAAAGAGCCGCAGAGAGGGGCGAGGAGGCCGCGGCGGAGCGGACCAGGGCCGAGCAGAGGCCGCGGGCACCGGGCGGAGAGAGATCTCGGCAGACCAGGGCAGGGCCGGGCGGCCAGGAAGGCCAGAGGCCCCGGGGGCGGGAACGGCCGGCCGTGCCGCCCCCTGCGCGGAGCGGCACCGTGGCCTCGAGGCAGGCGGCGGGCGGCCTCTCGAGGCCCGTGCGGCGGTCTGGCCGGGGGCATCTGCCGGCGTCGTGCCGGTCGCCGCCGGGGGCGCGCCCACCGCCACCCCCTTGCCCTGCGTAGCCGTGCACTTGCTCTGGGCGGTTGGGCTCGGTCGCGTCCCAGTCGGCGTGAAGAAGCCCCTGCTGCGCTTGCCCCGGCCACGGTGTCGGCGCCCGCCCTTCGCAGGTCCGCCGAGAAGCGCCAGCAGTCACATGGGGTCGCGACTCGGTGTCCAGACTGCGAGGGCATGTTCGTCGCTCGTGATGGGTAGCAACTCGTGGGAGGGTGATCCTGGCAACAATTATGAGTTAGTGCAGATTCAGCCGAGCCAGATCGAACAAGGCAAGACTACAACGTGTCGGGCTGGTCGGTACCAGAGCAGCACAGAGGAATGGCCAGGACCGAAGGGCAATTCGATCACGTAGGAGATGGAACCGAACCAAACTTGGGGTGGGAGAAGGACGGGGCGAGGACTTTGAATTGCAGCGCAGATGGGGTGCATGCGCGCTCGGGCCTCCATTCTCGACGTCGGCGCGGCTCGCCACCGCGAGACCAGGGAACACGTGGGCTTTGGGCCCCTCCGAGGCCCCAACTCTGGCCGAAATCGGCTTCGGCCCGCGCCCGTGTGAAAACCTGGATCCTCCGAGCGCGGCGCGCACCCTCCCGCCCTGCCTCCCTCTCTCCCTCCCTCCCTCCCTCTCTCCCTCCCTCCCTCCCTCCCTCCCTCCCCAGACCCCCTTGCGTTGTGCAAAAGACAGCGACGCGAAGCTTCTCGCTGTTTCCAGCCTCTGGGGGGCCCTACCATTACCATTAAGTCGGGCGTGTCCCCCCACAGGGAGATTTTGGACGAAGCATAAACATGGAAATACTCCAAAAATCTTCAAACATAATGAAAAAATAGTCCCCACACTATTTTTTACTATTTTTTGATATTCCCTCTGTAGAGGGACAGGCCCGACGTCACCCTACCGGACCCCAGGGCCGTCGACAAACGACTCGGGATGAGAGTGCCCGCGAAGGGTTCCAGACCTCTGGAGGTCGATGTTATCCAAGAATCTTGGCGGGGGGCAGGGGGAGGGGGGAGGGCTTCTGAGAAGGAGGCTGCTTCTCAGAAGGCGCCGGATCTATCTATCGATCTATATATATATATATATATATATGTATATATATGTATGTGTATGTATGTGTATGTATGTGTATATATATATGTGTATATATACATAAAAAGATCAGGCCCGCGCCTTTTTCAGAAGCAGGGGTGTTTCTAAGAGGCCCTGCCCCCTGCCCCCAACCCCCTCTGCGCGTGGCCGAAGACCTCTGGGGGGTCGCCGTTATCCAAGAATCACGACGTCGGAGGTCTGGGACCTGACCTGGCGATCTGGCTCGCGACATGAGCTCTTGCACCAGGCAGGGTGCCTTCACGATCGAGGACGATCGCCTCGAAGAGGAACAAGGAAGGAGGGGGGATGGGCGGAGGGGAAGTAAGAAGCCTCCTCCTCTTACGCCTTTCATCCTGAAGCTTCATCAGTGCAACTCCTTCTCCTCCTCCCCTCTGCCAGGATAGAGGGTCGAGGAGGTGCAGGACGTGGATTAGAGGGCCAGAAGAACCCAGGTTAAGTTTACGATGTTGCAGTACACTTGGGTAGGGCCTGTCCCCCCACAGGCGGATTTTGGAGGAAAAATCTGACATATTGAAGAAAGAATCCCAAAAATAGTCAAAAAAATCATCCCCTGACGATTGTTTTACTATTTTTGGACACTCCCCCTGTAGAGGGACAGGCCCGACTTAATCAGAAGCCCCTGGAGTTGTGACGCTGCATAGACACGTATGGCCACAACATATTTGCCCACTGCCGAAGAATACTCTGGCATGTTCCTGCATGCTCTTCGGACAACATCGAACTTTCAAGCAGCACGGTTTGGACAATCGACGATCCCGTCATCAAATGCTTCATCCTTTGCAGGTTCGTGAATCCCAAATGTCTGGCAGCTCCAAACAATGCCATGTCCGCCTGGCCTCTCTGAGCTCACCAGAGAATGTATCCGAAACCTGTCCGGGTGGCACACGAAGCATCTGTCATGAGCAGGCGTAGGGTATGCAGTTGTGATTTCCGCACAGTCTTGTTTTCGTTGTCCCTGGCTAGTTTATTCGCGTGCCGGGGCCACTAGACAAGTCTTGATCGCAACGCTCAAAACAGAACGTGAACACATTCCCACGAATGCCGCCACTCAGTGCTCACAACGACAGAGCTGCGCTTCAAAACATTTCAAGCAATGCGACCACTGCGCGAGGAACATGCCACGGGAAAAGATCCAGTTGGATTGCATTAGTCGCAAAACATGGCACTGTGAGCCACCTTCACTTTTCATGCTAGAGTACCAATGGCGGCTCCGAGTCCTTTTTCTGGGCACCCCTAAGTTCCTCACCAGTGCCTCGGGGCTTTTGTAGGAAACCCTCAGGGGGTACTTTGGTGTTCCGCTAGGTTAATCTGAGGTTTCTTCGGGGATGGGGGAGGGGGTCAGGGTTCGGTGAGCTCTCATGCCATGCTGTGGCTTGCTTCGTCATGCGGCTTTGGCTTAGGCAAAGCCATGGTGCGCAATGCTGTGATGCAATATGCAACGCCGAGGAGTGCACTGTTACGTGCTGGTAGGCGTTGCAATGCAATGTTATTCAAAGGGACGCTGTGCAATGCTACGCTACGCTATGCTACGCGAAGCTACGCTATGCTAAGCCAGGCATTGCACTGCACTGTGCTACTTTGCCATGAGAGGACATGCAATGCACTACGCACTGTTAGGCAATTATTTGCGCTGCTATGGAAATCCCATGTCATGCAACTATCCTCTATACGTTGCACTGCTAGGCAATGGAATGACTGCCCTGGCGCCACGCAAACTTTACGCTGTGCTGCGCCGTGCTACGTTATGCAATGCTATGCGTTTCCAAGATGCTACATGCTCATATATACCTGCGTGGGTCCCAAACAGCGACTTACACCACAGTGAGTATAGAAGATATGCTGTGCGAGCTACCTAGTGCAACCTAAATGGTGTAAGGTACGTGGTGTAATATATAATCCAAAATATGTGTGATGGAAGCTGTGCTACGCGACCAAGTTATGGGGTGCAACCTGTGGTGTGCAAGCAGTGCTGTGCAAGCAGCGTGGTGTAATAGATCTGGTGCTTCAAGTGCGCTGGAAGCCACACTCTGTGCGTGTGGCACCCACGAGGCGCCCACGGGGTGCCACCAGACCAAAAAACAGGAACCGCCAGCCAGCGCCTACAGTCGAGGCGTTGACCTAAGGAACCCGAAGCAAGGAACGAGGCCCCTTGTTCCATAAGTTCAACTTCGATTTCCCTTCGGAAACCGAAGGAAAACGTGGGGCAAGCTGCGAAACAATTAAGGAGCACGGAGCCCCTCCCCGACGAAAAGGGTTCCCTCTCTTCAGGGCCCCGACTGTAATGCGCCCACGAGGGGCCCACGGGCAGCCACCCGCGGGCAGGCCGGAGACGCACGCCAGCGCACGAAGGCGCCCACGTGGCGCTCCAGGGGCGGCCACGGGGCGAGAGAGCCGGAAGCGAGCGCCAATGACTTTGGAGCGCATCTTGACCCCTTACAGTGGGGGCGTTGACCTAAGGGACCCTAAATTCGGGGATGGACAGAACCCCCTTTAGTAAAACGTGGTTTAGCGAAAACGACCTGAGGCCCAAACCTGGCGGACGCAAGCCTGGAAAATAACGGCCACGGCGCCCTCTCGAGAACCGAAAATGGACAATTCACTAATCGACGTGTCACTGTTGGGTTTTCTGTCCACCCCCGATAAATAAGGAACGAGGCCCCTTTTTTCCATAAGTGAACCTTCGATGTCCTGTAGAAAACATGAGGAAAGCCTGAGGCCAGCTGTGAAACACTTGAGGAACGCGGAGCTTCTCCGCAACGAAAAGGGTTCCTTCTTCAGGGCCCCGACTGTAAGTGCAGACACGGTTTGAGAAATTGCTGCTGCCTTGTGAGTTGATGCGCGATGTGGGTATGAAATGGTGTGGCCTGTAATGCTACGCTGTGCTGTGTTTTGCATGTTCGTGCAAGCTGTTGCCCTTCGGCACAGCGATCACCCCCGAGTGGGGTCACAGCATGCTTCTTCAAACTGCGACATCAACCAATTCCCCTCTGGCCACAAGGTTCACATCAGCAGCCGGCGTCTGGAGTCTGGGATCAGCTTGTGAGTTGAACGATCTCATCTCTATCACATCCAACGAATTTCGGGGCAGTGACTCAAACAGTGTAAGGTGAAGGGCCGAGCGCACGTTAAAACTGACTTCACAGCTGCCAATGCATCTGCGCTTGCAGCTCCGCCGGCCCAACCAGAGATGACGTCCGTCGCCCTGGTTGGAAACAGCTGCCCGCTGGGCGACGGAGAAGGCGCGAGCCGCCGAGTCGCGGCGACACTTAGACCGGGCATGTCCTCCCACAGACGGCTTCTCGACGAAACGTCACAAATGCGTGTCAACAAAAAAAACTCCAGATTGATCAAACATGATAAAACAATCGTCACCTGATTATTTTTGTTGTACTTTTGTTGTGACTATGTTTGGATATCCCTTCTGTAGAGGGGCATGCCCGACGTGAGGCTACGCCTTCCCAGCCATCCTCCGCACGGGTCGCTGGAGAGGACTCGGACGAGACTCTGCAGCAAGGAGCCCTGGGTCAGGCCTCCGTTGCACACAGGTCCCAGATGGAAGAGGAGAGCCAGCAGAACAAAAGCAGGGAAGGCCCTAAAGAGCATGGAGTCATTCTGGCGGCGCGCAGAAGAGGGAGGGAGGGATGTCTTAGAAAGAGACTGCTTCTTCGAAGGCTCGGGCCCTACATCTACAGGCAAGGCCCGCGCCTTCTAAGAAGCAGGGTGCTTCTAAGAAGCCTTCCCCCCTCCCCCATACCCCCCTCTGCGCGTGGCCGATCATTGCGATGCCGTTGACTTGGTGCAGAGTCTGCTTTAAGAGCTCTTCACAGACAACATCTCGTGCGCGGGCGCCATTTGGGAAAAATGGACCCCGATGACGCGCAAAGGGTCCACAAGCGGCGTGGCGCTGCACCGCAGCGGCGGCTGCCGCGAGCTTGCAGCAGACAAGGGAACGCTCCACGGGTGCAGCTGCACAGGAGAGTAACCATTGACAAGAGTTGCCTGCGGTGCGCGGCTCCGGGGGAGCACGGGGAGCCACACCCGAGCGCGCCTGCTGCTGCTGGGCTAAGCCGCTCGGGGCGACCAGCCTTTGTGCCTCACCGCCTGACTCGTGCGGCACCATAACTCACGTCGATGATGGCGTGGCTCTCCCCGATCGGGAGCGGGCAAGAGGGGGGTGTCCAAGAGGGGGGGGGTGCAAATCATGACCGGCGGCATGTGCGCGGCCCAGCGGGGGGGGCCAGGGACGTAATGAAATAAGAAGAGGCGCCATGAGATCTGGGGAAATATCATGGCCCGCGCCATGATATCCCCCCCCCTAGTCATCCACCCCCTCTTTGCCGCCCCCGATCCCCGAGGGAGCCTCCGCGCTCCTCGAAGAGTGCCTCCTGGGGCAGGCAGCGGGCACAAGAAGCAGCCCATGGGCTCCAAAGTGGCTTCCTGCAGGCCTCACGGAGGAGGAGGAGGAGGAGGAGGAGAAGGAGGAGGAGGAGGAGGAGGAGGAGGAGGAGGAGGATATAGGAGGAGGAGGACCGCCCAAGAGGACCGCCCAAGAGAGGGCGCGTTCGGCCAGCGCGCGCTCCAGGGCAGGTCTGCGCTCTCGCTGTGGCGGTCTTGCAGGGGAGGAGGAGGGTGGGGGAGGCAAGACGGGAGGGCACGAAGAGTCTTGGCTCTCTTTGACCACCTACCAGACCACTCCAACCCAACCCGAAGACCCGAATTTGACCCGAATTTCGGGTTGGGGGGGGGGGCGAGTTCCACGTGTTTTTACCATGTTCCCCGACACCCCCCCGCTGCAAATGGAGGGCAAATTGAGGCCTTCGAGTTGGGTTGGGGTGGTTTGGTGGGTGGTGACTCTTGGGGGCCCCTGTGGCTCGCTTTGGCTGTCTTGGCTCTCCTTGGCTGTCTTGGATCTGTCTTGCGGCGCTCTTGGGGGCCTCTGTGGCAATCCTGGGTAAATGCTGAAGGGATTGGGCCGCGGCAGGCTGCTGGAGGGCATCGAAAGTGAGAACGGGAGACCACTGAAGAAACCGAGAGAAACCATTGAAGACACATAGAGCACATGTACAGAAAATAGTGCGGGCCTGGGCGAGGAGGAAGAGGCGGATACTGAGGGAGGGAAGAAGAGGGATAAGGAACCGATCGGAGCCCTGGGAACCGTTTGTGGAGCTTCTGGGGCCCCCGATTGTAGAGCGAGCTCCTGCTGCCGCGGTGTATTCGAGAACCCTCTCGGGGACCTGTAGAACGAGATCTGGAGCCTCTAGCGGGGCGAACTTCCGGGGCCCCCGCGACGCGAGCTTCCGCGCGGTTTCTTCCCGCCTCCAGGCCCGGTGCCCAGGGGTCCCTGCACGCAAATGCAGCGCGACTAGCTCTTCAAGAAGCAGATGGCGATCTTCATTCATCCCCCCCCCACTTAGGTCAGGTCGGTTCAGCCGATAAGTGATCCAGTTTCTCGGTTTACGTCTGCACGCCTGCGCACGACACAATCGGACATCCGACCGAAGTGGGCCCCTTGGGCTCTTGACCAATGCCCTGGGTCGCATGCGCTTCCGCCCGCTCAGGCCAATACATGTTCCAGCTCATGGTCATCGCCAAGGCAGTGGACCGGAAAGGGGGGGAGATGGGAGGCGGCAGGCGAGGCTGGCCAGCCAGAATGGCAGCACCACGTTCGCAGGGCCTTGACCAGTGCACACGCCCGAGACTGCCAACGGTCTTCGCGATGGCAGCGGCATGGGGACGGGAGGAGATGGAGCAAGGTACGGACAAAAAACGGCTGCTAAAGTAGCGATTTTGTTTGGCTCCTGTCTGGCGTGCAGACGCGCACATAGGCGACTGGACTGCGCCGCTCCGGACGCGTCGTGCCGCCCGAACTGGACTGGAAAATCAAGAATGTAGCATGCCCTGCAGGGTGGGCAAGCAAGAGGCAGGGGAGGAGAGGGGGGGGAGAGAAGGGGGGCCGGGGGAAGGAGAGGGTCCCGGGGATCAGACTTCCATCACGGGTATGCTCCGCACTTTGCTGCGGTGCACATAGCGCGTATGTCACAGTGTGTATATCTTGGCGTATATATATATATATATATATATATGTGCACAAATATATACATACTAGTGTGGACACGTTGATTAAATCCACGGAGCTGCGTGAGTCAAAGCTTGCCGACGCGGGCTGCTGTTTCTGACGAGCAAATTCCAACTATCTGCGGTGCGCGATCGAAAACCAATGTGAAATCTATGATTTTCGTCTCTTCAGGCCCTCTTGGGGGTCCTCCTGTGGCTCCTTTGGCCGTCTTGGACCCTCTGGGGCCGTTTTGACAGCATCTTCGGCAGTCTTGGGGCCCTCGTGGGCAGACTCGGGGCCCTCTTGGCCTGTCCAAGGGCCTCTTAGGGGCTTGTTGGGCCATCTTCAGGGCCTCTTGGGGGATTCTTGGGTCGTCTTCGGGACATCTTGGGCCCTCCTTGGGCCCCTCCTGGGCTGCCTTGGGGCTCTCTTGGGCGCCTCTTGGGCCGTCTGGGGGGGATCCTGGATTGAAGGGCTCATGGGCCGCGTTGGGGATCCAGAGAGCGCGAGAATCTCAGAATCCGTAGAAAACCAAAAAGGGAAATCTACGATTTCGGCCTCTTGGCGCCCTGTAGGGTGTCCCCTCGGAGCTGTCTCGGGGCGCTTTGGCGGGTTATGAGGCCGTCCTTAGGCGCACCTTCGGGCCGTCGGAGGCCCGACTTTGGCCACCTCGGGGCGGTCTTTGGAGCTTCGGTGCCGTCTCGGGGCCCGCCAGGAAACCTCTGCTGCCGTTTCGGGCTCCCCGGGGCGCTCGGGGAGCCAGGGGATTTAGTTGAGCGCACACACATCTATACATATGTGGGAAACGTAGATGTAGATGTAGGTGAACCGTTACATCTGTATATATATATATCGATATATACATATATATATATGTATCGACGCATGTACATACAGATGTCTGTATGTATGTACATACGTGTGTATAGTTGCAGATGTATGTGTGCACATGTATGTATGTGTGTATGTATGTGTGTATGCGTGCGTGATTGTATGTATGTATGCGTGCATGCATGCATGCATGTATGTGTGTATGTATGTGTGTATGTGTGTATGTGCACGTATGTATGTGTGGATGTTAATATGTATGTAGGTCGACCGTTGTGTGCGTGCATCGTACAAACACACATGCATGCATGCTTACACACAAACATACATAAACACCTACCTGCATGCGTACATACGCAACTACACGCGTACACACGTACATACAGACGTACATGAGAGCGTACACAAGTGCATACTTATATACAGTACATGCCATGACATAAGCTAGCATGCTGAAACATAGCAGTCCATCCCATACCATGTGTGCACGCGTACATACATACACACACATAAACATCCATCCATACATGTACGCACGTATGCATGCGTGCATACAGGTATGACTGCATACATGCGCGCATGTATGTATAGTTACATATATATATACGCATCACATACACATATACATACATACATGCGTGTACACATACAGACAGACATGCATGCATGCACACATACATACATAGACTATGTATATATATATATACACACAGAATTACTTTTATATATATATATATATATATATACATACATACATATCGGCGACTTGGAATCCTCTTGGCGGCTTTCTAGGGGCATCTTCGGGCCTGTTTGGGGACTGGCACGGGTCTTAGGAACTGCTCGAGGCCGTCCGTGGGGCCATCGTTGGGGCGCTGCACGGTCGTCTTGGAGGTCTCCTGGGCCACGCTTGGGCTGCATCGAGGCCGTCGTGGAGGCGTCTAGGGCGATCCTGGAGCCTCTTCGGCTGTCTTGGAGCCCTCTTGGAGGGGCCTCTTAGGTCGTCTTTGGGTCATGTGGGAGGCTCCTTCGGTCGTCTAGGGCTCTCGGCAATCCGAACAAGTAGGAACCACAAGCTCTCTCTCAAAAACATTTGGGCAAGAGCTGTTCGTCGCCTCTTGGGGGCCTCCTGGGAGTCTCTTGATAGCTAGATTGGGCATGTTTGGGGCTGTCTTAGAGACGTATTGATCAATGTGATCGGTCCATCTCACGGCCGCTTGGGCGATGTTGGCGACAAATGGGGATCGTCTGATGCCTTGCGCATTTTTCTTGAGCCGTCTTGACGCCCTCTCAGGGCCCTCTTGAAGACCCGTGGCGGCAGCACGACATCACACACGATGGACGCGAGGTGTACACTCTGGAAGGAGGGTGCCCGTACTCATACAGATGACTCCCCAATCAACGGTTGCACTTCGAAGCTCCCACTGCTGTTCCCCCAGAAAAAAAAACATTGGGCATGGCGAGGTGTCGCTTGGCTTGGGGTCTGGCAAGTCCTCCTGCATGCGGACCTGGGGCGCAGGACGACGGAGAGCCGGAACAGATCCAAACATCGCCACGCACACACGCACACACACAACACCACCACCACCACTACCACCACCACCAACAACAACAGCAACAACAACAGAAACAATCATTTTACCCGAACGCTCAGTGTTCTCCCCAGTGCCAGGGTTTTCATGCGACGCCAGCCAATACCCCCACTTCGTGGGGGGGCAATGCAAGCTCTACCAAACATCCACACGACTCTCGGGAACCACCCACACCCAGCTTCCCGCCCTATGACGTCAGGACACTTCACTTCGTGGCGCGCGGACGATCGTGGATACTACACTGGCGTGGAGTACACACCCGCAGAGGTTAATCACTTGTTTGGGCCCCGCATGTGCCCCGCATCGTGCATTTGTTGCGCATGATATGAGAGCAAGACAGAGAGAGAGAGAGAGCAAGACAGAGAGACAGAGAGAGAGAGAGAGAGAGCAAGACAGAGAGCCAGAGGAGAGCTACGGTGCGATTCGTGTGATTTTATGATGCGCGGTGCTAAAATTCTTAAAAACCCAATGATTTTTGGAGATTTCGGCGTGCGCGCGCGAAGAAAAAACGAATATGTCCCGCATGGTATTTTTTGACAGGGATGATGGCCCTGGCAGGTGCGCAAACGTTGTCGCAGAAGTTCGAAAAAATTGCTCGCAAAAGCCCGTTTGACAGAATTGTTTAAAAAGTGTTGGTTTTCCTACGAATCCGCAAGAGCGCGCGGAAGAACATTTTGACATTTTTTTCTTAAAAAACCATTGGGTTTTTGATGTTTTTATGTTAAAATCGCTACGAAACCTAAGGTTTTGGAAGGATTTCGTCTTGCGCGCACGAATGTCCACTTTACCTTATTTTTTGCAAGGGATTCTTGCAATTTGATCAAGTAAGAACAAGAATTTTCATTTTATAGTGTTTTTTGCAAGGGAAAACGGATACAACAAAACAACCGGATCCGGTACAATCGTTTTGCCTGAGACTTCCTCACGAAAATGATGAAAATGTAGCTGCGGCCTAGGCGCGGCGGGGGGGCCGTGCACCAGGGGTCCCAACAATAATTATTCTTAAGAAGAAATAATGTTCAACAACAGCAACAGCAACAACAACAAGGAACAACAACAACAACAACAACAACAACAACAACAACAACAACAACAACAACAACAACAACAGCGGCAACAGCAACAACAACAACAGCAACAACAACAACAGCAGCAACAACAGCAACAGCAACAGCAGCAACAACAGTAACAACAGCAACAACAGCAACAACAGCAACAACAGCAACACACACCACAAAACGCCGTCCCCAGGCGATCTCTCTGGCCCTTCGGGGATCTTCTGACCCGGGTCAATCCAGACCCGGGTCAGCAGGAAACCAAACACTGAAATGCAGGAAAAAACAACTGCAACGCAGGTCTTCGCAAACCCGGGTCAGCCAATATGCGCGGCTGCCTCGCGGCCACGAGCGGCTCGCTAACCCGGGTCAGCCAGAGGGGGTCTTCGCAGGATCCTGCAGGATCCGGCGCCCTGGCTGACCCCCGTTTGCACTGACCCCCGTCTCAATCAGGGGCAAACAAACCTACCTCGCTTTTGACCACCCTCGCTTCCAATAGATACCAAGCGATGCCAAACTACGGCACGTACTGGCCAGGCCGCTTGACGAGGAGGCGCGTGGTATGACTTGGTTATGCCTGGAAGCGAAAGCGGGGGAGGTAATCCACGCTCTGAGATCCAGGGGTCCTGGCTGTTTCAGAGACGAGGCTAGAGCTCGTGGTATGACTTGGTTTTGCCTGGAAGCGAAAGCGGGGTAGGTAATTCACGCTCTGACTCGAGGCTCCCGAGCCCTCCTCGAAGACCTTCCCTCCGGCCCGCGGGCGCCCCTCTGGCGGCCGCGGGCGCCCCGCAGCCGCAGGGCGAGGCGCGGCGCCCCGTGGGCGCCAGCGCGCGTCGTCGGCGGGGCGGCCTCGTCGACCTCCTCCTCCTCCTCCTCCGTAGCCATTTTGGCTCAAGCCGCTTCGGGCTCGCGAGGTTTCTCGCGCGCCTTGCAGGTGCCATTCTTCGGAGCGGCAGCGCGCCTGCGAGCCTTTTCTTTCGCTCCCATCCACCCCCGCACAGGTGGATGGCCAGTCCCGCTCATGATGTGCTGCCAGGACCGACCCGCCCCTTCTGGGGCTGCCCGTCCTGCGGCGCGTCCGCCAACTATGCATCGCGCATTCGGTGCCGATGCGGCCGCCCTGCCCCGCAGTCTGTCGCAGACAAGGCGCGCAAGGCGGCCAAGCAGATGGAAGCCGGTGGGCCGTCTCATGCTCCTGGGGC